AACTGGCAGTTGACTTCTCACTTCAAACTACCATCACCCCACTGTATGCCATATTCTACCACTTCCACAGTAATCATTTACCTTTTCTCCGCCTCTGTGTCTGTCTCTTTTACAACTGTAAACCACTCTTCTGTTCCCCATCCCTCGACTTTCTGTTACTTTGACGTTCCTTCCCTCTTTGAAGCCCGAAGTCAGCTAAAGAGCTAATGATAACTATCAAAACGCCTGCCATTTGAAATAAATATTTGTTTAAATAAGCTGCACACTAGCCCAAATATGCCGAATATTTAGCTATTCTACATTAAGTTCCATTTTCGCAGTGCTGTTGAGTTTTTTACTTGTTAATTAAAAGCTAGAAGCGAAAGAGACAGTCCATCAGTGGATTAAAACATTCAACAACCAATCAGAAGTAAATTTCTTCCGCCCTATCATGGAGCAATTAAAAGTTATCAATAGTACATTTAATAGCAGATGTAAAAATAACAGGTGGTTTAAATCTTGATGATCATGGCATGACTTAATGAAATAAAGATTAATGTTTGAGTAATCAAATTTTTTAATGATTTAAATTTTTAATTTTACTGCTCAATTTAACAGTCTTTCCCGCCTGTGTAGATGTTCCTATTTTGACCTCACATGTACCTCTGATCACTAAGATATATAATCCCAGGGCTAGTACATTGACAAATATATTTTTAACGATTACTTACATTACAGAGTTTTTGCCTAAAATATATCGTATCTCAACTTAACAATACTTCAATGATAAGGTGGTCTGACACCGTGTCTTAGAATAGCGATTTTCTTACACCCGAATATTTAAAATCTTTTTCTATCCAGTTTGTTGTATACACGAACAAGTGTCGAAATAAATTCCTATGCACCACTATAAAATTAATGAAACCCTCAAATTTATTTTTTCTTTAATAATTTTGAATTAGTAAGCTTATGAATTTTCTTGATCAACGTCGTTGAAAGATATACTCGTTATTTGTCTAACTTATTTCTATGTGCAAAAATGAAACATAATTTTCAAATCAAATGAGCAATCTTTTATACCTGTCAAATTGCGAACGTTATAAGATATTCTAGGTATTTGGGAATAAGAATACCGCGAATCGAATGCTATCATGTCTACGTTATTAATAAATTTTAAAATCTAGGCAAAGTGATCATGATTTAGTATATATGGGTGTGTGTATCACTATTTGTGATTTTTCAAGTGTCATTATTTGAGAGTATCGAAAACTCGGCCATGCAATACAAATAGAATTAAATTCGAGTTTTATTAGCTACATTGCGTGAAGGAATTGAGCTCAAAATAGATACTTTCCAAAAAGTTCTGAAGTTCTGGGAAAGGAAACAAGCAAGATTCATCTGAACCAACTAACAGCACAAACATTTTAATATATATAGTTGAAAATGATTTAAAAATCTATTACAATTTCATCTTATTTACCCTATTTCTGTTCTGTCAAAAGCAAAATCACTTGACATGGATTTAAAAATTGACAAGGT